AATAGATACCACAAGGTACCGAACTCATGGAATAGCTACCACAAGGTATGGACCTCATGGAATAGATACCACAAGGTACCGAACTCATGGAATAGCTACCACAAGGTATGGACCTCATGGAATAGATACCACAAGGTACCGAACTCATGGAATAGCTACCACAAGGTATGGACCTCATGGAATAGATACCACAAGGTACCGAACTCATGGAATAGCTACCACAAGGTACGGACCTCATGGAATAAGGTACCACAAGGTACCGACCTCATGGAATAGATACCACAAGGTACCGAACTCATGGAATAGCTACCACAAGGTACCGAACTCATGGAATAGCTACCACAAGGTACCGAACTCATGGAATAGCCACCACAAAGTACCGACCTCATGGAATAGCCACCACAAGGTACGGACCTCATGGAATAAATATTGGATTTGCTGAACTGTGTGATTTACAGTAGTTCCAACTGTATTGAAGAAAGCTGCTGGACACAGCTTTCAGAAAAATGTATTGAAAGTAAACCAGAGTCTTTGTGAAAATACATAGACAATGCCAGAAAGATGCCCAGCTGCTATTGATACCATAGATGACCACACTAAATATTAGCACTAAAGAAGCATAAATACGATATTTGTTTACTGATTTGTAACTTTTTTGTGTTAGATTACCAGTTAATTTCTATAACAAATCAATGACCATTTTGTTTATAATGCTCATGAAATACAGTTGTTGAAGTTTTCTTATAAATTTACATATTTTGTTTTTCTATATTAGCTATTATTGTCTGAGTATACTACTTACAAACTCTGTGTAATCCTGTTGTAACTGTGTGGTTGTATTTAATTTCTGCTAATTTAGATTTGATAATATTCTGATGATTGATTAAACAATTCTGAATCCCTCAAACTTTATGACAGAGACTTCGAAGGAATACAGTGATGCATTAACTAGTACAAATAGGATTATGTTAAAGTTAGTTATGTAGTACATGTTGTATTGCAGGCGATCGACCTAGATTACTTTCTTAGTTATAAGATAGTGTCTGATCAATTTCAGAAACTTTATGTAGCTCTATCTTAGTAACAATGTGATTAATTTCTCTTTTAGACTTTCCCAAGTCTTTGGCAAGCTTTACCTCTTGTCTTTTCTTCTCACATTCTGGGTTGTTTGGTGTATTTGTCACCAGAGTATTTTGACAGAATTGGTATGCTAGCGGATTTTCAGCTTGAAGATGGGATCTTCATGGGAATGGCAGCCCTACTGTTAGCTGTTCTTGTAGTTCCACTGTTCAGTAGGAGATTAAAAAGGTAATGTAGAGTGTTTTCTGTGTCTATTTTGCTTCCAGTTCAAACTATTTCCACATCAACGAGCTTAGTTGAATTTTTAATGGCTCTTGTCACTTAGTTAGAAAGCCAGAAAAATTGTGATAGTTATGTGATTTGTCTGCTTTTTGCATGTTATTATTCTATGTTTTTTGGATGCATTATTTAATTAAATAAAAACATTTAATGCAGTAGTACGATTAATATATAAAAAAAGTAGGGTTAAGTGTCATCGACAATTGATAGCAAATAAAAAGAAGACCCAGCTATATACTTTATTTCTTGTTTTTCATGTGTATTCTTTATTTGTTATTATAAACGTAACTAAAATGTAAAAAATAGAAAAATTTTTTGGTTAGATTAGGTAAAACAAATAATAACTTTTCATGGGGTACACTTGCGAGTAGCCCCGTGTGTTATGTAATTTAATAGGGTAACGTAAGCTCCATATTTTCCAATTGATTTACAAATTTGATGATGGGGATATTTTATAAACAGGTATAGACTGTTACAAGTTTAAAGCTATTTAGGATAAACAAATGTAGTTTCTTGTACAATTTGAAGTCATTCTACAAAGAAAAAAGGGTAATTTAGATTTATTTCATATTGTTTTTGGTGGTTACGAGGTTGGTCAAATTCAATTCCATCAAAAGGTTAACTTAAACATTCATTTACATCTAAATGTTCAATTGCATCATGCACAAAAATGCCTAGTGATGAACATTAAACGTTTTTTATTTTAAAGATATAAATACTTTTGTGTGTGTGATTAATGTTAATGGAAATCAATTATAATGACAAATGGTAAGCCTAGTTTGTTTGCCATATTGCATTAAGTTGAAATTTACACTTTCTGATCACTTGGCTAACAAATAGTTTTTCTTAGACTTTTTATTTTAAATTTATTTTATTTTAACTTGTCACAGATTTATACACGCTTCACATTTACAGAGATGTGATTCAATAACTGTTCAATTTCATTATTTTATGAAGATCATAAAGTCACTTAAAATGCAAGAAGTTTTGTGATAGGGTGTTTTATTTGAAAAAGAATTCTGGTTATGATAGCTAAAAACATATCACCAAAAGTAGGCTTAAAAGATAATAATAGTGGATGACCATTGTTGGCTAGCATGCCGTAGTTGAACATTTTTTATTGAATAGTAGCAGAAGAGTAAAACAGTGTTAAGCTTAAAAGTTAATGTTATAAATGTGAGCATGGGCCATCCCCTTCCACTGTTTGAGCCATAGCACAGAAACCACTTGTCTGATTAAAAGGTTCTTATAGTACTTATACTATTAAACACTACTTTGGTTTGGCATCAGATGCAGGTATACTGCTAATGACATTCTCACTCATTTTAGCCTTCAATTTATGGTATTAAGGCAACAAGATTGAAATGGGCTCCAAACCTCAACTGTTCATTGAGTTGTTTATCCATTCAAAACTCCTCTCTGAAGTTGAACCTGAATTATTCTATGAATGTTCTTTGAAATTGGTTCAACTGGTTCCTCACAATGACTTTTGACAAAAGACAGACAATTGTTTTATTTATGTATAGCTGTTGATATTTAACCAAACAATTTCAGTGCTGTTACAACATGGACACAATTAACTTTTTTTTTTAGGTTTAGTCCAATTTGCATGAAAAAATTAAAGATTATCATAAAGTATAACTTTACTTAAAAATTACCAAAGTGTATTATTATTATTATACTAAAAATTAATACCATTTTTTGAAGTATTTTGGGAACATGAAGTGTGAAGAAAAACAAAAGCTGTTCTGATGTGAAACTTTTGTTTATGGTTGTGATAGAGCACTGTACATGTATCTCTTATATTTAGGAATTTACCCATAGAAAAGAAATCTTAAAAAAACATACAATTTTCCATCAGTTGTTTCAGAGTTTGTTCAGTTACAAACCAGAAATATTTTATATATTTTAAAACTGTTACTTTCTAATATATTCTTTTTTTTTTATACATGTAGATGTACACAAATAGTGTATAATAGATACTTCAGTTATTCCTATTATTGAAGACTAAAATTGACTTTCTTCATGATCTAGGTGTGGAGGGAGCCACGGTATCTACCGATGTATTGTTCTTCTGGAGTTAGGTGCTTTCTTTTATACACTCTCCTTAATCAACGTTTCTTTGGCCACCTTCTTAGCTGTAGTATATGTCCCCGTTGCAGTGTTAGCTGGTACATCATCAAGAAGGTTCGTACATTGTGCTTGTAGTAGCTGATACATCACTTAGAAGGTTCTTCTATTTTTCCTATAGCAGCTGTCACTTTTTTTTTGATATATAAATGAATATCCTGAAGTATATGATCTGTTAATCACAAAGTGTATTCAGTATTGTGTGAGAGTTTTTAATGAATTGATATGGAATTGGTAACAATTCAGAAAATTAATTTAGTTATTTTTTTTTCTAGGATTTTTACATGGGTTCATTCTCTCCTTCTCTTGCTAATTCATCCTCTCATGCTGGTGTATCTAGTGCTGTTGGTCAACTCTGCCTACTTAGATACATCAACAAAAATGGTTGACCACATGTTTCGTGCTTACACTGGAGTGAAGAAGGTTGTATTGTACTCTGTGGAAGACTGGTACATATACTCCAATTGGAACTTTGTTATAGCCTCTGGAGTCTTGTTGCCAGTGTGGCTCCAGCTTTGGTTTTTACCCACACTCTAACTTAACATTAACATGTGTTGTACATTAAAACACATATATCGAATGTTTGTGTTCGTTTAGTCAAAATATTAGCATAGTCACCATGGCTGTTCTGTAGCTAGTGACTTTTGAAAAAATGTTGCCTGTAAGTATTTATAATGTTGTCTCTCATTATAAATTACACATTAACAGTTTTATATGGTTGATCAATGTTACAGGATGGCAACACATTACACACTAACAGTTTTATATGGTTGATCAATGTTACAGGATGGCAACATATTACACACTAACAGTTTTATATGGTTGATCAATGTAACAGGATGGCAACACAATACACACTAACAGTTTTATATGGTTGATCAATGTTACAGGATGGCAACATATTACACACTAACAGTTTTATATGGTTGATCAATGTAACAGGATGGCAACACAATACACACTAACAGTTTTATATGGTTGATCAATGTAACAG